TCATGAAGTAGTAACGTATCTAACATTGTTGCTCGCACTGCACACTGGGTGTCGTCGTCGTCTGTAAGTTCAAACAAAATGGCGCCTTCCACAATCCAGAAATTACGATCGGCCATTACAGGCGAACCAAACGATGATTCCCTCATAACTGAGGTAGGAATAAAACTAATATTTATTACTCCGTTACCTTGAAAATTTCTGGATTTTTTCCTGAAGGTATAAAAGGTATTTTCAGTGGTTTGAGTTGACGTAAGTAAAGCTATACCGGTCAATATCAATGAGGAAAATTATCGGATTAATGGTAGCGATGGGGATATGTAAAGACGTGTTTATCGTGTTGTATTTTATTACCAGGAGCAAAATAAAGATGAATAAACCCTGCCATTGGTAACAGTGGTTATAACTCTACTCAAATATAGCGATAGATATATAAATCTATACCATAAGAAATCAATAAAATTTCATTTTTCCTATTTAAGTTTCGTTTAATAAGCGTTTAGAAAGTATTTATTTTAAAATATAGGGAATGCACATGACTTGGGTCGTTGTTTAAAAAGATGTAGTATTTGACTTAACTTTTGAAATGACTCTTAATATTAATAAGCTTGATATACCGGAATTTTTTCTTGTTTACGATCATGCGTGCACATGCACAAAAGCTTGATAGAAATCATCTCAAATTGAACTCCCATCTAAACACTCTCTGTTGTTGAAAGAATAAATCACAAAGATCATTGAAGTAGGATTAAATATCCTCAACAAGGTAGACAGAAGAGAAGTTAACTTTTGTCGACACGTTTTTTGATGGGGAGGAGGTGTGGGGATTTGTTAACACGACCAGAGTTTAGGCTATGGCCCATGCACCAGATTGTACGTGTACATTAGGTATGACCATGTGCCTACTATGGCAAATATGATGTTTGTTGGCCAGTTGGTCGCCAGTCATGATCACGACCCAATTTAGTTTTAGCTCTGTTTATTTATTTATTTTTTAATGTCCAGAATTCTAATATTTACTGGAACTGCATCTTTAAACCTTATACTTTTCAAAAATTGTATTCAAGTCTAATTCCTTTTGTTGTGTTGAAATTCATTTTGAAAATTGACTTTGAACACTCAGTAGATTTGTTGCATTTTTGGAGCTACAGTATTATCAGTTTGAAAGGTCACTAATAGATTTCACATTGAAGTTGCAAAATTTTTACCAAGTTGTGATTTTGTGAATGAGCTTCAAACGTAGTGGCCAAAGTTTCATGAAATCATCTGTGATAGTCAAAGTTATGTAGTTTACAGCTGAATGTTCCACATTAACAGAACAGACTGGGCTGTGGCACATAAAATTTCATCCCTCTGCAAAAAATGACTTCTACATTGTAATATGATCTAGACAGAGTCTAGATGAAAATTACTCTGTCTGAATCTAATTAACCTATCAAATTGTATCTTTTTGACTACTTTTATGATTCCATAGATAAATGATGCTACAACACTAAGTTGGTCAACAAGAATCAAGGGTTTCATAATTTGTTTTATCATCGGAGTGTGCTGTTCTGTTATGGTAGGTAAAGCACAGAATAGTGAGTGCAAATGTATTTGATTTTTTTGTTGTGCAGACACACTAACTGGGGCCACTTGAAGAAAAGTTAACCAATCACGGACATGGATTGAGAACAAAGAAATTAAACTTAAGTCAAACTTGAACCAATCAGAAGGCTAGATCTTATTATATCTCATAACAAATGCAGATGTTATCAACAACAGTGGGAGTGTGAGATTGTGATTGGCAGAGGTCAGTACCTTATACATAATAAAACAACAGTCACATTGCCTTCAATCATAGTATGTAAAGGTACCTGTACTGAACATTTTTTTTTGCTTGACGGTAGTCTACTGTCAGATTTCCATGTTGTGACTGTTGTCTTGATCAGCGCATTGCAATGACAACAGTTTTAACAGAAAGCTTGACAGAAGGCAAAACAATAAGACCAATGCCATATCTTGATTTTCCACACACACATAAAGGAACTGTAGATTTTATTTCCTTTATTTCTTTTAGGGAGTGATTTTTCTGTGGAAAGATATCAAGCTATTTGCAGTCTTTTACTCAATTGGAAATATAGTGACTTTAGCAAGGTAATTACTAATAGTGTAGTTATAGTCAGATATCCATATCTCCTCCATGGAGATAGCATATGAGGGAGTTTCCAGAGATGGGGAGGGTCTGAGGAGGGTATATTGTGTAGTTCAAGAAAATATCCATACCTCCCCCACAGAGAAGGATTGGAATTTTCAAGGGGTGGGTAGGGTCTGAGGAGGGTATATTGTGTAGTTCAAGAAAATATCCATACCTCCCCCACAGAGGGGGATTGGAATTTTCAAGAGGTGGGGAGGGTCTGAGGAGGGTATATTGTGTAGTTCCAGAAAATATCCATACCTCCCCCACAGAGGGGGATTGGAATTTTCAAGAGGTGGGGAGGGTCTGAGGAGGGTATATTGTGTAGTTCCAGAAAATATCCATACCTCCTCCACAGAGACAGTTGGGAATTTCCTTCTTGGCACTTCATCCGACAGTGACTCTTTATCAGGGTTCTTGCTACTCCTTAAACCCTTGATTTTTTGAACATTACTTGCATGGTTCTGAAATAGATCTAGTCAGAAAGATCGGAAAATCAGAAAGTCGGCCATGTGCAACCACCGTGGAAAACCTTGGCATAGTTAGCTGAACATACTCCTTGAAAATTAATTTTTGGGTCCTTGTATACTCCTTGAATAGTCCTTGAATTTTAAGTGGTTACCTTGGCACAAACCCTGCTTTATGCAAACTTGATACCAGTCTCTTTCATTTTCATTTCAGTACCTGTTTTCTTATGGGTCCTTTTAAGCAACTAAAGAATATGTTCAAGGAAAAGAGGCTTATTGCAACCATAATAATGTTGGTATGTATTACTGAGTTCTACTTAATCTCCTGGGTAACTTTTCCTTGTGTAGTATTACTTTCTTTGAGTGTTGGAAAAACCAAAATTTCACATCTTATGTTATGTTGTTCAATTTCATGTAATTATATCAAACAGTGTTTCATCCTCTTTCTAAACACTGAGAAGTGTGTTGAAACAAGGCGAGCCAATTTTTTTTATCAAACAAACTTTGAGGTGCTTGAAAAAAAAATTCCAAAAATTCATACAAATTGATATGGATAATATTGATATGGGTGTAATTCAAATAACAATTTTTGTTTCCAAGGGAGCAGGATACCATTGGAATTGGAAAACAATACATGATACATTTAACTTGTAAATTGTGGCAGGTTAAAAATGAAAAGGAAAAAAATGAGAACAGGAGTAAAATATAAAAACTGCAGTACTACCTGATGTGGTTAATCTCACCAACCACATACTGACACGTTGTTATTCTTACATCTAATTTCTATGATGGTTTAAGGTAATTTCTTTACTGCAACTAACAAATCAAGTTTTCCTCTTGTTACAGACTTGTTTGGTACTAACACTGTGTGCTGCACTTTGGGTAAGTGTTTTGGAATAAACTTTGTCGCTTGTTAGGAACTAGTTAGAACTTGTTATTAGACTCTAAAAGTTTTTAATTTATTGAATTTTTATCCTTTCTTTCCCCCTCTTTCTCTCTCTCTACCCCTCCTTACCCTCCCTCCTTCCTTCATCTCTCCCTCCCTTCCTTCCTTCCTTCCTTCCTCCCCTCCTAGCTACCTACCTACTTAACTTTCTAAGTTTGTTAGCTAATTTGTTGATTGATTTATTCATTCATTTTTCTATTCATTTATACTTTAGTGGGGAAGCAAAAGACTTGCAGTGCTTTTTTGTATTTTACAGTATCTTGCAATGACATGGTAAGGTCAAAGAGCATACAGTAAGACAGCCATTTACTCATTCATTATTCAAGTCTTCATTGATATTTTAGGCTGCAAAACCAAAAGCTAAAAACAAAAACAAAAAAACAACCTCATGAATGAAAAATGATCCATCTCACAAATTTAAGCAAGGATTTAATCTAACCCTAACCCTAAGAATCAACAAGAATATGATGATGATGACTATGTTGGTGGTGATAATGTAGATGATGATGATGGTACCAGTGGTGGTAATAAGTGAAATGAGTATGAGTTTCCTATCATTGTGGTAACTGTTATACTTCTTTTCTCTTGCAGGTACTGCCTTTCATACATCCCATTTGCAAGGTAAGATTGCAGGAAATTATTTTTTTCGTATCAAGGGGTGTGGTCAAAAAGGAAATAGGGATTCTTTTATGACTCGTAAGGAAGGTATGTTTGTTGTTGGTGGAAGGACTGAAGGATTTGCAGTGAAGTTTTTTAGAATGATTGTAGCCGATCATGAACCTCCTTTTAAGTCAACAAGGTACTACTAGCTTTCATCAAAATAAGAAGCTTTGATCCTCCACTAGCCTCTTCCACAGGCATCCCCTTGGCTCTTTTTGCTCCTTGGGCTTCCTGTGGTGAGGCCAAAAAAGTCGGAAAAACTTTCTCATTCCTAGTTCTTCTCTGCCATAAGATTTAACACAGGGATCCCAACAGAAAATATATGGGGTAGCCTGCAGTGGAGGCTAATCCTCCACAAAAGATCAAAATGTGACTGATGACCCTCCTCTCTCAATTAGCCTGAGCCCTCTGCGCCACCCCCACCCCTCCCCTCCTTTCCATAAAAAAGGAACCTTCCCTAAATGTCTTTGAACTTGTCTCTTATCCCAAGTCAATAGTGGGAAAATTATTTACAATTTATGTCAATATCTAATAACCAATTGATTGAAAAACCATTCATTCATAAAATCGAAAACATGTATTCCCATATTTTACCATGGGAAATAAGAACAATATCTATTAATTATCATATTCATTGTCTTTAGGGATGCTGTCAAAAAGGTGTTCACGAGTTGCATGGTATAGATATCAAGAAATTATACACAAGAGAAGATTTTGTATGGCTGGGTAACCTGTGGTAATATCACTTCCCATAGGTTTTTGGTGTGAGTAAATGAAGAAGCTTATATAGAGGATATTACACAGTGTTTTACACAATGGCGCAAATATGTGAAGTTTATTACACATTTAGGTTCAATATCTGTATGATAAAGCCATGAATAAAAACGATATCAGTAAAGTGATAAGATATAGCCTGCGTGCAGCCAAACTATCTATCTGTTAAGTTAGTATACAAAAGAAAAGTCCGAAGTCGGGCTGAACGCAGGCTAGATAAGATATCACTTCACGAAACAAAACATTTTAGTATAAATTTTGTGTAATAGTCAAATAGACACAAAAGAAAACAATTGAATTAGGTTCTACTAATGTGTATTAGTCTAATATCTTTTTCACAGGTTTAATGACTTCACCCTTAAAAGCTTCATCAGGAGGAGATTCAGGATTTTCGAACTGGGAGTCACATTGTTTACTAGGCCTCAAAGTAGCTTAGACAATTCTGGATTTTGACAAGCAAAATTCTTCGATCTGGGTTACCTACTCCCTGGATCTGCCTTGTTTATGGTGTAATATTTTAGTGCCATACTAGGTGATGAATGGCACAATCACATTTAATGGACTGAAGTATGGTTTGAATAGAATGTGCTTTTAATGCCGAGGTTATAACTTCACAAAACATCAAATTCTGTATGCTTGAATGAAAATTGAAATCAGAATCTCCAATATTTTGCAAAGATTTTAGGCCTGACTGATCTAAATAGAAATAGACAAATATATAGAGGTTATCAGTCAACTAAGCTTCTGATACGGCTGTGTATTTTTACGAGTCACGGAGTTGTTTATCATTTAGTTCTGCAAAGAAATGCTCAAACTCTCTCTATAGTAATACTAAACCCTATCATACCCAGCACAAGCAGATGAGAAGTGCTGATGCTGTCTCATATCGGGCATGGACTTTTTCCATATCACGCACGTTCTTTGCAGAATTAAATGATAAAATCCTTTATCGAGCATTTAATCCAGTAATCAAAAAGAATTGATGTTTGGTTTGAGAAACGGTTTCTTATCTCAATATATGTTGAGATTCTTAGATTGAAAAGCAAAAATGAGACAAGTCTGTAGTACAAACATCATTAAGATATTGTACAATAATATCTGTTTATTAATGTTTATTATTATTTAGTTAATTCTTGTATATCGATCAAAACTTGTAAATTAAAAGTGAATAAAGAAATTAAGAAACAATTTTATGTTGGCTGCAAAAAAATATTGCCCTAAATCCAGCTGATATACCTTGGGTCAAAACAGATTTGGGAATTAGTACAAAATGTCCATGATTAAAGGCAAAGTAAATATCAGGGAAACTTACCAAGATGAGAGTCTTGGAGCAGCAGGGTGAATATTCCTCCATATTCACTGAGCCTGAGGCGAATAATTGTTTTTTAACACAAGTGAATTTAATGAGTAATGGAGAAAGGTTTTTTTTGTTCAAATTTTATATGTCTGCAAGCAGAACAAATCGGCAAACCAGCATGCCCATGTGTACATTATATTCACCTGTAGGTGTATATTATAGCATGAGACACATTCACTTGTGTAAAAATACTAATTAACAATCATTTGCTAGAAGCTGAAGTGATTATCGGTGGAATATTTACCTAGCAGCAAGGTTAATATCACCATAATCACCAAGCCTGAGGGGAGCAATCGTTTTAGTATAATTTTAGATGTGATTATCAGAGAAAAGTCGAAATTTAGGATAAAAAAAGTTTTAGTGTTACCGTACTTCCGATCTGGAAAATTTTGGAAAACCTTATAATCATGAGGTGATTATTGCCTCAGAATCACCTGTCACTTGACCAATCGCAGCTCAAGAAACTAYATATTCAAGTCTAAAATTATACTAATATGTGCTATTCAGAGATGCAGCCTTCAGTGACTGTTGTGTCAAGAGATCATCTGGGTGCTTTTGCAAATTACTTTAAAATATGGTAAAAGAGTAGTGAATTTTTATTGTTTTTTCTTAATTAAAGAAATGCATGAGTTGATATGATGCAAAGTAATAAAAAATAGATTTTCTTTAAAACAAATATTTCAATGAGTTTTTTTTTTT